ACGCATCTCGCGCCGTTTCAAGCAAGTCGTCGACACCAAGTGCAAACCTCATGCTTTGTACCTGCTGCGCCGCAAATCCATTCCGATAGAAGTTGACGACGCACTACTTGCTATCCGCCTGAAGCGCATACCCTGGGAGTCATGCTGCCATTACGACCACGCACGAGGCGACTATTCTTTCTACCCTTCAAAAGACTTCTTCGAGGCCGTTCTGAATGAGACTGAAGTGCCGCCAGGCTGTCCCTCTATTCCAGCCGCAACTTGGTTGCAAGAGGTCGAGGCTGTCATGGACCTGTACCTGTTGGTGTTGGCCTATATGTCTACCGGCCAGCACTGTTCATTGAACATCCAACAGCATTACCTTGGGGGCTATTATCTTGAACAAATTGACTCGCCCTACGAATGGCCAAAGCCCCAGACAGAAGCCATGATCCGGTCGCACTTCCGCCTGTTTGTCTTCACAACTGTGTACGCACCACGTGTTTTTGTTGAGCCTCTTGCCAGCATTTCAGCTATAATGGACAACACTCCGATACCGGACGTCACTGCTATAACGGAACACCGGGTAGCTTTATTGATGGAAGAAATGGCGAAATACCCTGTGTTTCAGAAGTTGCAACTGCCCTTGGAGGAAAGAACAACACATCCGCTCCTTGATGGCTTTTTTGAGTGGCTATACGCCCAGCCCGAACCCCGCGAATTCCTAGTGCTCCCTGATGGCTTCCAGGATCCAGCTAGTGGCCACCCAGGCGACCGCTTAATAAGGACTTTTCCAGGAGAAGAACGTCACCAGGTTGCCCTCATGCAGCTGTGGAAGATACACCAGATAATGGATGATCGAGAGTGCGGTAACGAACCAACACCTGAGTATCATGTTGCATCTCAATTCAACCCGATACAGCCAGGGCTCACTGACCCAGCTACCGCCTATCGCCGACCCCTTCAAATTTCGATTTGGTCTGAGCCCCAGCTCATTATCGAAAGTTGGACAGAAGACACCGCTTGCTCAGTGGTGCTAGAGGTTCCTGGAGAGACGCGTAAGGATTACATCAAGAGATTCGTTCTACTGAAGATGAATTATTCGGGGGGATTCAATGCCTTTAGCAGGGTGTTTGAGACTGAACTCAAGAACAGATTTGGCTTGAGATACGTTCCTCAAGAGGTGACATCTCTAGATATTGACTATGGCGTGTTGGACCCGAGACCTGAGTTGGAGGAATGGGAATAGGCTATGCAACGACTCCTCCGCTGCGTAAATTCGCCACTTCCTCTTTACTCATCCCCAATGTATCACCGAGTATCTCGTCCGTATGCTGGCCTAGTGTGGGCGGAGGTAGTCGTATGCCTGGAGTCGAGTCTGACCATTTCACGGGCGTATTGACTAGTTTGATCGGTCCACATGCTGGGTGCTCTATCTCTTTGACCATGTCTCTTGCGAGGACTACTCCAGATTAGTATCAAAAACAAATACTTGTTCCGACAGAGGTAATCTACATACCGTGTTCGTGGTTCAATGTATCCTGAACATCGTTGATAGCAGCGTACGCTGGAATTGTTAGCTAAGAACTCCAAGGCATACCGTTGGTACTTACGCATGCCACTTCCCTCAAGCACGTCGAGCAGTTCCTGGGTAGTCTTCCTCTTCGTCTCCGTCTCAATCAAATCCTCTAGCTCGTCCCTATGCTGCACCCTCAACGCGTTCGTCTTGAACCTCTCATCGAGAATCCACTCGGGCCTTTCCAACCTGTTGCACAAAACTCCATACAACCTATCATTTCCGCCTCCCAGCAAGATATCTCCATCCGCCGTCTTGAACGCCTTGTACGGTACAATCGATGGATGCGAAGTTCCCCAGCGTCCAGTGTCGCGTTTTCCGCTAATGAGAGTGGAGCTGGCAATATTGGCCAGGGTGGCAACTTGGCAGTCTGATAACGCGACGTCGATGTGTTGGCCCTTGGAGTTTGGGTTTCTGAGGCGCCGGAAGAGAGCTGCCATGATGGAGTTGGAGGTGTAGAGACCGGTTGTCAGATCGGTCACTGCCACGCCGACCTTAACGGGTGGGCCATCGCGGGTTCCGGTGATGTGCATTAGGCCAAATTCGCTGGTTTGTATTAGCATTGACATGGTGTTAGAAAGATGAGTGGGGGGATGTACGCTTCAACCATGACGTCGTAACCTGCTCTGTTTCTGTAGGGGCCTGTCTGGCCGTAACCTGTGATACTGGCGTAGATGATACCGGGGTTGATCTTTGACACGGTGTCATAGTCCATGGCGTACTTTGCTAGAGATCCTGGAAGATAGTTCTCGACAAGAACATCACATTCTTTGACTAGGCGATGCAAGATGTCTACACCAGCTGGGTGCTGGAAAGACAGGCCTATCGATCGCTTGTTACGGTTGACCTATTACCCGTGAGCCACGAAAGAGCCGTGATAGGGGTGTTCCACTAACACCCAAGTAGTAAGCACTCTCTCCTGGTCCTTCTTGGTTGTCGGTGTACTTCGCGTAAGGTGGTCCCCATGCTCGTGTGTCGTCTAGGCGAATTAGCTGGGTTGGAGAGCAGCTTCAAATACCCCTCTACTTACCTCCTCTTGTCGGATGCTCAATCTTGATTACGTCTGCTCTAAACCAACGTCAATCTCCAAGTCCTCTCATCGCCAACCTCGGTTGGGCCGTACAGGGCTATCCATCGCATACCCAAGATCGCCCAAGATTTGCGTGCAATATGGCTACTAGAAGTCAGTCGAGTTTCTCGCGAGTTCATGAATCATGACTCACTCCAGCAAGTACTCTTGTCATATCAAGCACTTTAATGCCGGCTAGAGGCAGGTTGGACGCATCTGCATTCGATGCCTCAGTTGCTAGCCGTCGAACATGGCTGGGTCGTGCCCAATTGGACCGTGAACATGTCACCGTCGCCAGGAAAGCGCGTCTCGAGCTTCTCAGCAGCATGCTTGCCATTTCGATGTGGTGTATGTAGAATCACGACATGTGCCGGTTAACGGAATGCTTCCACGGCATACCTATTCCCGACGATGGGCTAGCTCCAGTTCGGTGATCCGAGGCTCATCGCTAGCTGCAGAACCCCACCAAGTTTCTCTCTCCAATTACCCACCCCACCATGTTTACTGGTCTTGTTGAAACCATTGGCAGTAAGCTATGATGCATTGTCTTTCCTGCGCGGCTCGGCTGACGATGGCTAGCTGTTGCCGCTCTTGAGAAGCTCGACCAGACGGCCTCGGGAGGCGGCGGCACATCGTTGACCATCTCCGGATGTGAGGACATACTGGGTGACGCCCATCTGGGCGACAGCATCAGTGTCAATGGTACGTTGGCACTACCATAAATCACCTCGTGGTCTAATCCAACCAGGCACCTGTCTCACCGTCACGGAATTCACCAAGTCATCGTTCAAGATCGGATGCGCTCCCGAAACCCTCCGACGGACAAACTTGGGGTCGCTCAAGGAGGGCTCCAATGTCAACCTAGAGCGCGCGGTCTCTGCCAACACACGCATGGGCGGTCACTTCGTGCAAGGACATGTCGACACCATCGCCACCATCGAGTCGGTAACACCGGACGGCAACGCGCTTACCTTCCGCTTCAAGCCTCGCGATACCTCGGTCCTGCGATACATAGTCGAGAAGGGTTATGTCACAATCGATGGGGCTAGCTTGACGGTTACAAAGGTGCAGGATGGTCCTGAGGGTTGGTGGGAGGTCATGTTGATTGCATACACGCAAGAGAAAGTCGTCACGGCAAGCAAGAAGCCGGGCGAGGACGTCAATGTCGAGGTCGACCAAGTCGGCAAATATGTCGAGAAGAGCGTAGCTGGATACTTTGAAGGGTCATCGAATGGAGAATTCGCGATACTGGAGAAGATGGTTTCGAAGCTGGTGGACGAGAGGCTGAAGGCTCTTGGAAAGTGATGGACACATGCTGAACCATCGGCTGCTACGCGTACGCGCACGCGCAGGCAGGCTCTCAGCGCCAAGATCGAGGGTTTGCCGTCAATGCCGCAGAAGTCATGGCCCCACATTAGTAACCAACCAAAACAAATCATTCAACTTCAGTTATATGGTTGCCTCGAAAGGGGCTCATGGGTGAGACTTGCAGCCCCATTGCGGTGGTGGCTTGGACAGAGTGAGGCGCAGCCTTGGTCTCGTCCAATACATATATATCTACATGTCCATCCCATCATTCCACAAGACACTTCCTACCATTCCACACCTACACATGAAAGGGCGAGCAGATTGATATTCATGATCTGAGGTGATGCTCAGTTCGAATGTGGCGGCTCTCACATCGATCCCCTCATGGTTGACAGTTGTCAAGAGGCATATCATCGCACAATCCGGAGTGGCGGCTTCGAAGGTTTCCTCAACCGTTGAACAATCGTTGCTTACATTGCAGGACTAGTCCATGCTATAGTGGAGAGAGTTAGGCAGAACACCATGCCGCGGCGCCGACATGCAGACCAACGATGTCATTAGGCCGAAAGCTCTGGACGTTTCGATACTTTTTGTGCTGCGAGCCGGTATGATAGGAATGATCTTCCACTGACAGCGCAGACGTGCAGCTATCGGGGTGGCGTCTCCGCCTGTCCAGAACAGCATCTTGCCCAGTGGTGCAGCGCAATTGCGGGCAGCGAGCTGGCCGAGACTAACAGACTCTAACTCAGAAGATTGGGGGCCAAACTGATTGCAGAGAAAAATTGTGTGAAAGAGGAAGCGAAGACCGCGGGTTACATGCAGGCTTGGTAAGGGATTCTGTCGGCATAGGTCATTGGCGTTTCTCACCGGCGTGCTGCTGCATAAACACGTCAAGAGCCGACCCTCCTCAAGCGCGCATGCCACCAGACGTCTACCCCAGACGCTCATCTCGTAGCGCCATCGCTTGAGCGATTTCTCTTCCCTTTCCCCGCCGATTCCCAGGCGTCTAAAGCATGCGTTGCGACTAAATCTTTGTCTTCGGCTATCTATCCCCGGTACGCACCTGTCATGGACTGGCGACTACTCGACTACGCCAAGGAAGCTGAGGAGACCGCAACGGGCCTACTCTCCTTCGAGAGCGAGATCCCCCAATATCGCAAAGACGTTAGGAGCCATATCGCAGAGTTGTTTGCCATATCGCACGCTCTGCTTGAGCTGAACGAGGCGCTGGAGTCGTCCCGCTATGGCAGATATGCAGGCTTCATACGAACGGACCTAGAGGTTTGCCTCCCGAGCTTAGGACACACGCTTGACGATGTCCAAGAAATATTCACCAGGTCCAAGAAGAGCAGGCACGCTGCGCCCGGTGCTTTTCCCGGCACACCACCGTACGCACTCATCTGGGAAGATGCGCTTACGGATTTCACGGCGGAAGGCATGTCTTTACCCAAAAGATTCGAGATTGTTAGGACATATCTACAGTGCATGCACGACGCTCTGAAGGGGTATGTAACATTGGCGACATGTTCAACGGGATGGCTGACGGGTTCTAGAAACGAGGATGAGGCCGCATTGGCTAAATTCAAAGTCACGCTATCCAGGCTGCTCAAGAAACAAAAGCCAACGCCGATTGAATCTTACTTCAGTAAGCTCTCAGTGCATGGCAATGGGAAGAGTGGTGCTAGAACACCAAAACCGCCTTCCCCCAAAGTGTCTAGACCGAAGATACACCAACACCCCACGTATCCGGCAGCCCAGTACGGGTACCAGCCAGCCCCGCTACCGCTACCTCATCGATCTCATATTGCACCAACGTGGGGAGGCATAGGGGACATACCGTATATTCCTCCCCCAGTGCCAGAAATCCCTCAGTCGCCCACGTATTCGTCCGCATCATCACAGGCCTACTCGAACCAGTCGACGGATTCAGAGCCAGTCGCTCATTGGGCAATGAAGATCTTCGATGGACGACACGGCTCTACACCATCTCAAAGCCCCTCGGAGCCTACTGAGTGCTTCGGGAGAGATGAACCAAGAGTGATTGAGCTGTTAGACACCGATGGCTTTGAAAGGATTCTAGAACTGCCATTCGAAGCAACTGAGGTCTGGATAAGAATTTACTGGAGGGCCGACGACAACCGTGCACGAATACTCTTCCTTACTACGGATCACAATGGCAACCGTGTGAGGTACCAGGTTCCAATCACTGCATTAGCAGTACGGCGCGCAGGATCGTGCTTGCAGCTCTGTCGCATCAATCGCCAAGATGGTCAACTTGACCTGTGGGCTAGACTGCGCTTCCCTCTATACGAACGTAGGTACATTTGAGTCGCTCCTGCAAACACTCTCTAATGTTCTTTCAGGTATGGTACTTTTCTATTGTACCGCCATAGCTATGAAGCGCCAGGACCACACTCCCATTGCAGAGGGGCTCGAAGATGTTTTCCTGCCAGGAGAAAGGATTATGTTCGCAGGGTAAGTGATTGTCACTAATCTCTTGTTTCATGCTGACGCTACTCAGCGAGACCGTTGACGGCAAGTATCTCCACGTCTTCCGCGTCAAATACGATACGGACTCGGGCTGTGTACGGTTCGAAGCCACTGCTCGTCGCGGGCCTATGAAGGACATACCTATCTGGACGGCGTTCGTCACGCCATATGTCGGACGCGGTGACTGGATGAAGCGCGTCGGTCCAGAAACAATCCAGTTCGAGAAGCTGCATCCGTATGTCTTCAGTGATAGCTACAGGCTACCCAAAGGCCCTACGGGCAAGTACCGGTTGAGCTTTACTTCACCAGAAGGTATTTGAATTCCCATCACCTATACGTGTCCGATGCTGATACATAAGTTAGACGCGAAACAGTTCAAAGAAAACTTTTACCGCATGAGAGTCCGCTAGGCTTCCTGACGAGCTCAATAGAGCAATTCCGTTCGACCAAAATGTACGACACTCTCCTAATGTATGACGACATCACGCCCAAAATCTATTAACGACTTCACGACATAACGCAAACAAAACTCTCACGCCGTAACGACGAGGGCGGATTCTGCTTTTGGCACGATATACCCCTCTCACTACTTTCTCTGGTTGGATGTTGCAAATTGACACTATGCTGTTCTTGATGCTGTATTTGTCTTGAAGCCTTGGCCTTTATTTATCGCAAGTAGCATAATGGTAAAGAAAATTGGTTGCATGAACCTTGGGATCGACAGCAAAAAAAGTGAGCATCTTCGTGTCACGCCTCTTTGGGCCTAGCGTCCAAAGTCTCAGATGCCCCGCTTCCCACCGAGATTGCCCTGGTGAGACCCTGGACCGAGCGAGTCTGTGCTTGGTACTACCAAAACCAAAATTTCCCTATCCTACTTGGACCGGAGCAACGCCAGTCTCTCTTCCTCTACCTTCAACCGCTCACACCTCCTCTTCTCCTCACACTCTACTCTCAATATGGCGAACCAGCAAGAAGCCGGAAAGAAGGACCCCCTCACGGGCATGGCGCACTCTGAGGCGCATTACTTCAACAGGTAGGCATCATTGAGGGTCCAGACATGCGTAGAGTTTCGCTAACAGTATTGTGTAGCTACAACCACCATGGTCCGTACAAGTACACTCTGATGAGGTGAACGATACTAATGCGCGAAACAGGTATCCACGAAGAGATGCTGGTACGATTGCCCCTCCCTGTCATTCACCTTTACCACGACGACTAACAATGCGCTTTAGAAAGATGAAGTCCGAACCAAGAGCTACCGCGACGCTATCTACCAAAACCCTCACCTGTTCAAGGACAAGGTCGTCCTCGATGTCGGATGCGGCACATCCATCCTGAGCATGTATGCGCTCCTCGCCCTTCTACATACCACACACGAGCACGCGCTGATATGCTGGCTATAGGTTCGCCGTAAAGGCCGGCGCAAAGCACGTCATTGGTGTTGACATGTCAACCATCATCGACAAGGCGAAGGAGATCGTCGAGGTCAACGGCATGTCGGACAAGATTACCCTGCTACAGGGCAAGATGGAGGAGGTTGTCCTGCCCTTCGACAAGGTCGACATAATAATATCCGAGTGGATGGGCTACTTCCTGCTCTACGAGTCCATGTTGGACACCGTCCTCTACGCCCGCGACAAGTACCTGGTAAAGGACGGCTTGATCTTCCCCGACAAGGCTACCATCTTCATGGCTGGTATCGAGGACGGCGAGTACAAGGAGGAGAAGATCGGATGTAAGTACAGCAAAGCTCTGATTTGCTGCGACACTGCTAACAGAACAGTCTGGGATAACGTCTGGGGCTTCGACTACTCTCCTCTCAAGGCCACCGCCATTACCGAGCCCCTCGTCGACACTGTCGACATCAAGGCCGTCGTCACCGACCCCTCCCCCGTCATCACCCTTGACCTTTACACCTGCACCGTCGCCGACCTCGCTTTCCGGTTACCGTACGAGCTCAAGGCGCGCCGCAGCGACTTCATCCACGCCGTCATCGCATGGTTCGACATCGAGTTCGCCGCCTGCCACAAGCCCATCCGCTTCTCCACCGGACCCCACACCAAGTACACCCACTGGAAGCAGACAGTCTTCTACCTGAAGGATGTACTGACGGTCGAGGAGGGCGAGACCATTAGCGGCATACTAGAGAACAAGCCCAATGAGAAGAACCACCGCGATTTGGACATTAGCATCTCATACAAGCTCGAGGCGAACGACATGCACAGGCAAGCATCAGGCGAGTCACAGTACAAGATGTGCTAGTTTGTCTCTTGCGTGTAGAGTGAGGTTTAGGACGGCGTCAACCACCGTTCGGGGAATGAGCGCCTGTGTCTTCCATGATAGACTTTTTCGGCGTTTTATGGCAAGGGATTCGCATACCAAAAATTTAGGGTAGCATGAGCATGTGTGAACGAGTTACGAAGCAGGGACCAATCTATCATTGGGAATTCCTCCCCTACAAACAATATCTGTCGCCTCTGACTTTGGAATGTGATGCATGCGCCAAGACTGGAACGTGCAAAAACGAAGGATGTTGATCTGAATGTTCATTGATGAATGCTAAACGCCGTTGCCATGATGCTATGCTGCGCTCGCAAGCGGGGGTATATATGCAAAGTCTCAGCCCCAAGATACTCCGCATCTAGATTTCCAGCCAACGCGACTGTAAAAGCAAGCCCCAATACTTTGTGAGAGAAAGCCGACCAAGGTCGTGATATCTAGTAAACTTTTCGCCATGTAAATGCAAAACCAATCGCCAACCTCTCCATACTCCCAAAATGAACCACGGACAATACTTCTAGTAGTCGTAGCTTTCGTTAGCAAATCCTTCATCATCGTCTTCCAAGTAATTGTGCTCCAAATCTTCTTCTTCCTCTTCTACCTCTTCCATTTCTTCTTCCTCCTCCTCTTCCTCGCCTTCCGCGTCGACATCCGCAGGCTGCTGCACGACAGCTTGAGGGGTTGAGGCTGAACTAACACCCTGACCGCTGGCAGATGGGCTCGCAGAAGGGTGACCGCCGGGGAACAACTCCTTGAGTCGGTCGTAGTTGATGTGGTTACTGAAAGCTTTGGCGCGCTTCTTGAGCATCTTGTGGGCAGCGTCCGCCGCGCTAGCTGCAGGCTGACCCTCAAGAACATTGCCATCGCCCATTTGGTGGTGTTTGCGCTTTTGCTTGGGTTTCTTGGGCTTGTCCTCTGCGGCTTCGAGTTCGGCTTGCAGCATCTTCGTCTGTTGGTCGCGCAGCCATTGTTCATTCTCTGTGATCCAGATGGCTTCCTTGCGGCGGACTTCCTCGGGGTTGAGGATGCAGGTGGCAACATCGGGGTCGTCATTGAACTCGTCTTCTCCAATCTCAGGATCCGTATTTACGGGTACGGCGTCGCGGGTGTCGGCGGCGACGCGGGCCATCTCTGCTGCTGTCCAGCCAGAACGCCTGAGTAGCTCGTGGTCTTCGCTGTTGGCGATTTCCTTGAAGATACCCTCCCAGTCCTTGATGGTATTTGTGACTTCGTCTTCAAGCTCGTGCTCAATTTCGAGATCCTCTTCGGCGATGACAACAGGCACTCGCGGCTTCTTTGGTGGTCGGCCACGCTTCTTAGGCATGACAAAGTCTGGGTCGATGGTCTCACCGGCCTCGACTTCCTCGACTGCACTGACAACAGACTCCAGGACCGCCTCCGTGTTGCCGTCAAGAGCCGCTAACTCAGAGGATGGATCGCTATCCTGTGTACCAGAAGCTTCCGTCTGGGTCGCAATTGGCTGAGATGAACCGTCGTTTGACTTGCGCCTCTTGCTCGTGCGTTTTGGTGCCGTGTCTGAGCCTGCTTCTGCCTCGCTATCTCCAGACTGGTTCTCTGTAGTCTCCGGGTCGCCGCCCTCAATTGCTCGTTGCTTCCTCTTTTCCCTTCGCTCTTCCTTCTCTGCGCGCCTCCAAATGGCAGGAGGCTGAGCCTTAACCTTGAGACGGGGCCCGAACTCTCGGAACTGGTTGACAGTGAGAGCCGCGCTCTGTGTCCTCTTGTATTCGTATAGACGGGAGGTGATGGTGGAGTCCGCGACCTTGACAACGTAGACGACCTCTCGGATGGTCCGGCGGAAGTTGTTCATGCGGGCGGCTATGATGATACAGGCGCCACACAATCCAGCCGGCTGACGACCTTGCACCATCCAGTCCCGGTTCATGCGCTTCAGGACCCTACAGGCGTCGTCGGCGACCCTGTGAGAATCCTCTCCAAACTCGAGCTTCCGACAGTATTTCAGCATCAACGGCTCGATCTCCTGGACGGCTTTTGTGCCCACGAGCTGTGCGGGATCGTCCTCCTTCAACATCTCCAGAAACTGTTTGTACGTGTCTCCGAGCTGCCAGACGTTGGTCTGGATCTTTTCGGCCAGGTCGATGAGCATGAGCGTGTTCTCGGGTTGTCTCCGTGCTGCCATGTAGATCGCGACAGCGGCAACGGTCCTCATGCGGCGACCCTGGATGAATCGGTGGTTCATGGCGAGCTTGTACCAGCTGTAAGCCTGTTCTACGACGGCCTCGCGCTGGTTGAGAGATGCGCCTAGAGCTACGATGGAGTTCTTGCCATTCATCGCAGCCTGGTCCCTGCTCCCCATGCCCTCCAGACCCCGCATAGTGCCGCCCATGGAATTCGCGTGACGCTGGTTGGCGTGGATGAAGCCACCCTCGACAATGGCTGCTCCGCCCGAAGTTTCGCCAAAAGTAACCTCGGAGACGATGTTGTTTTCGCCGTGGACAGCACCGCAGTTGTAGCACAAGACTTCATTGTCGGAAGTATCTATCTCGGGTTTCTCGCAGCAGGTGTATGTACGTTTCGCGGTTTTGGTGGCAGCCACCACGGGCGCCTTGCTTCGTTGCGTTGCTTTGGACTGATAGTGGTAGGGATCGCTCAGACCTTTGATCCGCGGTCCCCTTGCGACCTGAGCTGCCGACATATTGGGCGTGTGGGAATGGAGGGCGCGGGTGCGAACGAGCGTTGTGTCGGGTCGGTTGAGGAACGATCGAGAGTAAGAAAGTAAAGTCGGCAAGGCAGCACGAATGAGACGCGGTACCGCGGGAGGGGCACTAGCGATGACTGGCGCTAAGTGGGGTGAGCTTGACCGTTTTGGGAAGAGAGCTCTGCACCTTGAGCTGCGAACACATGGCCAACACCGTGACTATGGGAACCTGCTGCCTTCAACGCTGTCTCGGGTCGCTAGCCGTCGCAGGGATCTCACAATTCTACATATATGGATCAAATATGAGCTGCATTTGACGCGTTCCTGTGATTACAAATGACTTGACGTAAAAGAGCACACTGCGTAGTTATTGTCGTGTCCCTCATGTGCCGTGGAGGCTGGTTCGATGCACAGTGTTCACGATTATCTATCCTACGATTGCCGTTGAGACGTATGTCTTTGCGACACTATCGATGGATCTCTCATATCAACAGACATTGAGCGGTACCTGCAGCAAAGTAACATCAGCGCAACGCTTGTGTGCCCCCGTCCCGGTGCTCCCATGCGGGTGATGACCACATGGCCAATGATTGGCTAACCTGGACACACCCGAACAGCCCGAACTAAGCCATTGAGCAAAAGCCCGCAAGAGCCCTGGCTTCCCAGCCTCCTTGGTAAGGCCTGCGTAGGTGGTGTCTATTTCATCCGGGCGCCCGTCCCTGGGTCCCCGCTCGCAAGCTTCTCCATAGCTCTCAGCTCTCGCCCTACCCCAAAACACTACCTTGACCTACCAACCTTTGTCAAATTTCCCCAGCACGACACAATGTCCACAAGAAAGAGGAAGAACCAGGAAGAGGAGCTTGTCGCTCTCCCAAGTGATGAGAGCGAAGAGGAAGAAGAGTAAGTCGGCGCTTCCTTGACGTCATGGCCCTTGCACTTCGCGTCGCATGCATCCCCTCTTGAAGGCATCGCAATCGCCTTCCCTCTTCAAAGTGAATTAGGATCTTTGGACTTGTTGCCAAGTTCTACGAGAGTTTGACAGGCGCGGAATCGATGTTGCGCCCGGGCTTTCGGGGTGGAGCAACGGTTGACGCGACAGCGCTTCGCAACATTGCTCACAACGCTCTCAACTTGGATTCGCTCGGCGCTCACGTATCTCCTCTGAGCGTCGAGGAATTCTGGGCAGCGCTTTACTCTCGACTATGGAACTTTCATCACAGTGCTAACACATGTCACGTAGATATGACGAGTCTGACGGATCAAACTTCAATTCAGACGATTCCGACGCCGAAGAGCCTCGTAAGCCAATACTCTCACCCAATATCATCGAACATAAGTTTCTCACACTCGATTGCAGCACCAAAGAAGAAGACCAAGCGCACCAAGCCCAAAGATGATGAGGATGATGAAGAGGAGGAGGAAGACGACGTGAGCGACGACGATGACGACGACGCCGCGGGGCCCGAGGAAGACGACGACGAGGATGAAGACGCCAACCCGAAAGGCAAGAAGCCAGCCGGTGCGGAGAAGGATCGGAAGGTCAAGACCACAGGCAAAGCTGACCCTGTACCTGTTGTCGATGATGACGACGATGACGAGTAGAGATGTAACGTCGAAGTGCCCATCATGTTAGTAGTCTTAGCTGATCAACGAGAATATACAAAGTACCAGTTGATAGTTTTGTTCTTCAACATCCACAGTTGCTCTTCTACCTGACTTGTAGTGGGGGGCAGATCAGATCTACCTAGGTATGCGACCATTTGTAGCCTGTCTCCTTTTATCCGACGCATCTCTTGATGAAGCTATTCGAGATGCCACACAAGATCCTCGACTCAGTCTAGAGTTCGGCTGGCAGTGCCATTACAGCAGGACTGTGCAACTTTGGGTGACCACGCCGGATGGGTTCTAGTGTGATAGCCTTAGCGCGCCGCCTCTACCTACATATGTAGGTACCCAGACTTTTCACGCGACTACCTCGTTCACCAGAGTTGGAAGTATTCTGCAGAGTACAATGCTACCGCTGTCAGCCGCAAAAACGTGAGAGAGCGCGCCGAACAGCATCCTCCGTCACTTCCCAATTCTGGTCGCTCTTGCCTTCCAAAGTCTGTATTAAACACACTCCACTCTAACCACGCGTGTTTCACCCGCTCGACACGCCTCGCCTCCAACGACACCATGGCGCCGGCTATGAATGACGCGACCAATCTTCTGGACGTCGACAATGCGCAAGATGGTTTCGGAGAGCTCCTGATCGCGTTCAACTCATACGTTGAGGAACTACTTCACCAACCCGCATTCCACCTCTTCATGACTCTACCTGCCGTATGTGTGATCACTGTACCGATTCTGACTGTGACGTTAGCTGACGATTTCTATTAGGAGATTCGATGCATGGTCTACAAGCAGTACTTCCTGGACGAAAAGCATTCGATAGCCTGTCAGAATTGGCCGAATTTGCGATTCTCTGAGGACTATGAGCAGTCTATCCGACTTAAGAGGAAGCACTCACCGTTTCTGCCGTCTCTTTGTCTTACCAGTAAGAGCCTGCGAAGCGAACTGCTCTCTTGTTTGTTAGAGGCAGCGCAGTTCAAGTTCGACGACTGTACAGCTCTCAGTAGGATCATGGTTTCACTGGAGGCAAGGTCCCTGCATCTCCATGTTCGAAAGGCGAAAACAAGGAACGTGAACGGGCAGCGAGGGATTGTATTCCTCGAAGACGAGCCCGGCCGAAGTGAAGAGGACGCCCGCGAGCTCGCGCAAAGGTGCAATAAGGTCAACTCCTCCACGATCAAGCGCTTCTCACGACTTCGCGAGCTTAACGTCACACTTTACTCGCCATTGTTGTGTACACCTGGGAGTGGCAATACAACGTTCTCCATCCGCCCAATTTCATTCGACATGTTCTTGCATGACTTCCAACTCCAAGCTATCCTGGGCTTGGAAGAGCTACAAAAGCTCACCATTACAAAGATCAGCGGCGCAGCCGGCACTTACGACACCCGCAAGCAGATCAAACTTAACAATGACGGCCTGGTCGAGGATGATAAGTCAAGCAATATCACCGCTGTATTGGATTTCTGTCGACAGATCAAACATGGGTTCACTATACAAGGACGCAACGTAACAGTCAAAGCCTGTCTTCAGTATTGCCAGGATGTATATGAGGAAAGGATCTTTCTTTGAATGAATGCGGAAGGAGACCGAGCCGTGCAGACTGGGACGAGGCGAGCCGCCGTCGGACGTGGTCACAGAGGTAGATGCATATGATGGTGATGTGTGCAAAAAGGGCAGTTGGGACGCGCGTGAAAGACACTGGTCCCACAAAGACGTTCCTGCATCAGGTACATTGTTACATATCTGGGGCGTCTGAGAGCGTTTACCATTCTTCACGTACTCCGCTGATGTAGTCATTTGGTCGGCGGAGGTAGCTTTAGTCATAATGATATTGTTTTCGCGATAACCCAGGTTTTGCCAAGATCCATGCGTGCTGAATACTAGGATACAGCACGTACACACCCAGCATCTCTGCCTAGGCATGATTTCATGCCGAAGAGCAGATATTGTGATCAACCACGACACGTGTGCGATGAATGAACGTGCTTTTCGTCTCAAATTTGACACCCTTGACATCGACGAGTGTACCAAGAGAAAATCGCAAGGTGTAGAACTCGCCTTCGACCTCTTCGCGGTTGATCTCGATTCCTTCTCCTGGCCTACACAGCACGCGCGGCTCGCGGAGATCATATCTGGCTAACCATAGGGGACCAGCACGACGCCGAAAGCGATCTACTACGTCGTCACGACGAGTGTTATCCCAAAAGAGATGCCCCTGAGAGTGTTGGCAAACATCGGAACTGCAGTGCAAGCAAAAGTACACACCAGGTCGGGATTGAGTAACCTGCTGAGAGCATGATGGACATATTTCGATGTCCGAGCTGTATGCCTGAAGCTTGAAGTCATGCGTTACAGTGATGGCGTAAGTTTCTTGTTCTAGATGGGAGAAGTCAGGCCCTTTCACAATGCGAGCAACGATGGCGGCAGTGCAGAAGCACATCTCTTCTTTGCATGCATCCAGGACTTGCATGATAAGCTCGGTATCTGGACCATCATAGTCGACCCTGACCTTGTCGCCACCCTTGCAAAGCGCTAGCAAAGAGTAAATGCGGTCCCGTCGAAGTGTGCAACATTTTCCTTGGAACCATCGTAGGAGGTAGATCAATCCATGGGTGGCCTGCCGCCTTTCGTTCTGCAAGATCGAGCAGCTGGGGCCATTCTCGAGGTAGTCGTCCTGTGACCAGTATAACAGATACGCATATTCCATGATAGAACTAAAATATAACTCCTTTGTCGAGTGCACACAGTAGTACGCGAGTGGCAGGAAGTCGATGACGTGTTCTCCAGCCATCACTACTAGCGCGTTTGCTAGCATCATTTCCTGTGCGACCCAGGCCCTTTGCCAGTACGCATTGTTCGCAATGAGATCGTAATGTTTTTTAATGAGTGAAGAGTCCGAGATCTCGGAGTCGTACGTATTCTCTTGACTGAGATCGTAAGCTGGGACGGAGCGACTGCTGGAGTCCGGTTCTGCGTTCTGAGAGCTGCTCCCCTGAGGTGAATCACCGTGCTTGCTGTGATAAAAATCCTCCCAAGTCTTCCAGGCCTGGCGGTCGAACTTCTGCCCCACCGCTTGAACGAATTCTTGCGTCTCGAAATTATTGCCTAGCCACGACACGACCAATCTCGCGCCAGCAAAGATATCACCCATCTGCTGAACTTGATGGTTTCGTTCTTCGATATCGGCTTGATTTATGCACAACGCGTCTATCCACAATGTGCAGAAAGTGAGACGCTGGCGTGCCGCTTGGAGGAAGTCGTAGAGGTTTTGGCGCACATAGTGTAGCTTTCCATCGAGCTTGATAGGGAACTCGTCCCCTGGTTCGCCCCAGGTATATGAAAGACAGACATAGTTCGATTCTTGAACTAGCGCATTTTGTAGGTAGCAGTCGGGGAGGCCGTCGACGGAGAAATCAGGTCTGACTTGTATCAATCTGAAGGAGCCCTTCACTTTTGGTAAAGGGGAGTGCTGGAATATTTCTGGCTGGGTCTTCGGGTTGGCCTCGATGCCCGTCATGATTGATATGGTTGATGTGGCTGATACTGCTGGGCAGACTGTTGGCCTTGGTATTGAGCTGAGCGATGTCTCAAAACAGTAAATGACTGAGCGTTATAGGTATCAGCAATGCCGATCCTCGCGATGTGCGGCGGAGCGCTGTCATGAACTGTGTTTCGGATCGTTGCAATTTATGCTGAAGAGCAAATTAATGGCAGGTAATGTCATCTCGAAGACGTGAGGTGTTAATGCAAGGTACCTGCCGCGGGGCATCGTAGGCGGCACGGGACGCTAACCTCAGCCTAGACGCGTCATGTTCACGGTCGCGACGCGACCATCCCGCCACCCATTATCGCCCAACGACGAAGTCTCTGCTTCATAGAGCACGCTTCTGTTTCAGATAGAAAAGTATGGGTACACACAAAAGTCCCAAGCCCCCAAAGACGGTAAAAGTCCACCCGTATCCTATCTGGCGCACCATCGTCTCCAAAGCCGCCACACCAGCACCGCTGAGAGCGCATCTCACCAGGCTGTAACTCGCTTGTACAGTTGAGCTTCTTCCAGGATTCAAATCTGTGAGCAGCGTCCCGCATGTCGCGAAAATACACACCTGAGCCGCTCCGGAGAAGAACTGGACCACTAGCAGTATAGCGACGTGCGACCTCGTGTGCAATACCCAACCGTACCCCATGGTAGCCACCGCACTAACGATTACAATCGGAAATATCGATCGCAGTCTAGCCTTTGCGAAGGGGAATTCGTTGCCCGATTGAGATGTTAATGGGAGGCCCAGTCTGCGCGCAGTGACTTTGTAGTCGTGATCGAGAAGTTTGCCGGACGCATACGATGAGAGGATACCGCCAATGCCGTTCGGAAGGTAGGTCAATCCCGCCGTAAGGTAATTCATCCCATACTCTGCGATGACTGCCGCTGAGAGGGAAGCCGCGAGACACGTATACATAGTGTAAGTGATGCCGCCAGCTAAGATGACGATGAAGTTGGCTTGGTTCCTGAGAGCCGACAGTGATTTGAAAGGCCCTAAGAAGGCGGAACCACGACTACGAGAAGATGCAGCTGCCGGAGGCCTGGTACTACGCCGGCATACGAGCGAATATATGGATCTGTTCATGAGGCGCGCTGGTTGGAGACTTCCGTTTCCTACAAGGCATCTTTCGGTCTCCGGAAGGAACAGCGCAAGTGTCACCAGCAAAGTTCCGGCAACGATGACCAAGAGCCAGAAGATCCATTTCCACGATAGCTTTTCTGAAACTACTCCACCAATGACAGGCCCCAAGCATGGTGCAGCGTTGGTAGCACCCATTAACACACCCACGTAAGATCCTCTTTCTGCAGGTATCGAGATGTCTGCGATGATACCGAAGGCGATCGCGATGGTACTTGAAGCACCAGCACTTTGCAGACATCTCATCACTATGAGAGTCGCATAGTGCTGCGTAAGAGCCAGTCCTATGTTTGCCCCGACGTAATTGCA